AAAATTTTAATCTTCATCTTCGTCTTCATCTTCGTCTTCGTCTTCGTCTTCGTCCTCGTCTTCGTCATCTGTCTGAAAATCAGATTCTGAACATTCTTGTACATTTAATTCGCAAATTTCAGTTGGATCCACATCTATAATTGCTCCACACGGATCTCGTAAAGTTGGTATGTTATATTCCTCAATTTCAACCGTGTTACATACTTCCTCTTGTTGGTAGGCTCTATCCTTCCAGTGTTCCTCGATTTTCCTTCGTGCTTTGATTTTACATACAGCCCACCAATCAGCTTTGTCACGTTTCAAACTAGGATATGATGCATAACATACTTGAATTGCTTGTTGTGCCAAGACAAATGGTTCATACTTCATATACCTTTTCTTGTGATTTATTTCAACCAAATTGAACTTCGTATGCACCTTCATTCCTTTGACGGGGTCGAACCACGTGCACTTAAATAACACAACCCGCATCATTAATGGTCCAGGGTACTCTATCTCTATGATTTCATCCAACAAGCCATAAAAATCATCTTCTGAACTGCCACCATTGGATGACCGAACACACACACCACTATTCATTGTGGATTTTCCCATTTCATATTCTTGAGTATGAAAATTATATCCATTTATGAAATATGCTGGCCAACTTCGAACTCTTAACTATGGACCCCATGACAGATAATATAGCAATCCTTGCCCTCCAATTTCATCATAATTACTGTGAACCTAAGGTTACACATGCAAAGTCAATAATATATATTATACTAAATGATGTATATAATTTTAATAACTTGGTTTTGGTCCATAGGCAACTTACATATGTCTTGAACCATGCTGCAAATTGTTCATCGCACAAACGGTCAAACTCATTTGGTTGTAGTCCAAACATTTCAGTTTGGAAAATCCTAATATTAAAAACCATATAAATATTACCAAATATTTGACACACAAAACATATATTTACAAATTTACACTTACTTGAAGTATGGCTCGACTTCTGGGCAGTTCAGTAAAATATAAGTACGGGCTGCATGAAATTCTTCGCCTGATAAGTAACGAAACTGACATGTGCCGCTTGGTCGACCCAGATAATTGAAAATAGAGAATGCTGTGCAATTGGGATCAATGGGGCCCTCATCATTTCTGCCTGCTCTCCGCCTCTTGCACTGAACGTGCGGCTCAAAATAGTATGATGCAAATGTTGTCACTTCTTCCACAATATATGCATTACAAATTGAAGCTTCAACACGTGCCTTATTCTTCACTTTTTTCTTCAAATGATATAAGAATCTAGTTGAAATAGAAAGAAGCTTATCGGAACATATTATATGATAAACTAATCTAAACTGTATTTTAAAAAAAACATTACCTCTCAAAAAACATTACCTCTAAAAAAAACATTAACTTAAACGTGCTGAAATCGATTAAACTAAGATCAATTAGGCTCGCTTCTCTCTTAAAATTTTGGCCAAGCCATGGTGTGCAATGGGCTGGTCGAATTTTATCACTTGTGGACTTAATTAGTTACAGGCTTGATCCCTTTAGGGCCCATTATGATTAAACTCAAAGCCTTTAACTTTAATGGTCTAAACCCAATTCAATTAAAGCTCAAATACTCTGATTTTGGGCTTGAGGATTTCGGCAACTACTCCTCCATGGGCTGGCCGAATTTTGCTAAGTTTTGGCCCCAATCCACGTGACTAATTCATATCCATATACCACCGTTGGTCCAATGCAAATGCAATTAATAAACTAAACGATAGTGAATGCTCATAAAAACTATATGTTATGAATTTTACTTATATTATTTTGTTTAGAGGCTAAAGATTAGTCCCTAATTTTCTATACAATTAAACCCTAAATAATTAGCCAAAATTTAGGTGTCAACACTTACACTCAATGGTTCCAATTCACTAAATTTATCAATTTTGTTAAGCAGCGAATAGTCTATGATTAACAACTCTAACTTAATCACCAATTAACAACAAAACTAAATCCAATATAAGAGTAGACCTATGAGAAGCTTGTCATCAATTTGGAAATGCATAGATGCCCAACCAATTGGCGCACAAATTCCCTTTTGCTACAAACGGACCTATCACTGTCGTGAGTATATCCTCATTTATATCAGCAAATTGTCACACTTATAGCTTTTTTTTTGGATGATGGTATGGAGATTTCTTGAACTTTTTCAATTTGTGTAGTGTCATCCTAAGATTTTTTTTTATGCAATTAGGTCACTGAACTTCATATTTGTTTTTCATCTAGTCCTTCCATCAAATACTTGGGCAGAAATGCTGAGATAACATGCATGTCTTCTTTACATAAGTGCTATTGCTTCAAGTAGCTGCCGATATAGGATAATAAAACTAGAAAAAAGAAGACCAAAAATTTTTGAAAAAAAACAAAAGGAAATTGCACATGGTCAAAAAAGAGTGAGCGGGAGGTGGAACTTGGGCAATGGGGTCTAAAAGGGAAGCAGCGGCGATGGTGACAAGCCACCGGTGAGGGTCCAGCAACCCTTGTTGGTGGCCAGGCATCGTCATCGCCTCTAATCACCCACAAAAGCATATACTTAGACCGAGAGAGTGTTGGACAGAGATACTTAGGCAAGTTTAAATTGATATCGCCACCTTATTTGTCTTTGTCTATGGATTGATTCCACTCATCTTTGTCCTTATAGGTGGCGACAAGGGTGGCTGAACCTCGTTCCAACCAGCTCATCCATTGTGATTGGTTGGATTTTCATTGTTTCTCGTAATGAGGTCTTCACGTTGCTCTATTCCTTTGGCAATGCTCTCAACAGCTTGCTTACTTTTTCTACATTAGTAAATATTTTTCGTTGGATTACCAGAACATTCCACTACAAAAAAACATGGATTTTGCCATGAAAATTTGCGACGGGAAATTTTTCGTCGCTAATTTGCGACGGATTTTTTTTTCCGTCACAAATTAGCGACTAATAATTTTCGTCGCTAATTTGCGATTGAATTTGCCACGAAATAAAAATTTGTCGCAAATTAGCGACGGAAAATAAATCCGTCGCAAATTTGCAACGGAAAATAAATCCGTCGCAAATTTGCGCCGGAAATAAAATCGGACGCAAATTTGCGACAGAAAATAAAAATCTATCGCAAATTTGCGACCGAAAAAAAAAATCTGTCTCAAATTTTCGACGGAAAAATAAATCCGTCACAAAATCCATCGCAAATTTGCGACCGAAAAAAAAATCCGTCGCAAATTTGCGCCGGAAATAAAATCAGAAGCAAATTTGTGACGGAAAAAAAAAATCCATCGCAAATTTGCGACGAATTTAGCGACTGAAAAAAATTCGTTGCTAATTTGCGACGAATTTAGCGACGGAAAAAAATTCGTCGCTAATTTGCGACGAATTTAGCGACGGAAAAAAATTCGTGGCAAATTAGCGATGATTTTAGCGACAGAAAAAAATTCATCGCTAATTTGCGACGAATTTAGTGACGGAAAAAAATTCATCGCAAATTGGCGACGAATTTAGCGACGGAAAAAAAATTCGTCGCTAATTTGCGACGAAAAACAGTCCAAAAAAGGATTTAGCCACGGAAAATTAGCCACGGATTTAGATTTAGCCACGGAAAAAAAATTCGTCGCTAATTAGCGACAGATTTAGCGACGAAAAAATCAAATAAATTTTAGTAATTAAGTAAAATAACAGTTAGTAATAGAAAATTAATTGGTATTAAATCGTAAAATTGGATTAGTAAGTCATGCAAAAAGAAGCATGACTCAATATAAAAATTGGTAAGTTAAAAAACCAAATGGATAAGCAACTCAAATTAGAGTTGACAATCCAAAACTAATTGGTAACTTAATTGGGCAAAAGTTAATGAGGCACACAAAAAAGTTGATAATTTCATGTAATAGAAGGTAAATTCAAAGCTGGTAGAAAATTAGAAATGTATTTTTGTTAGAGATAAGAAAAGTCGGTCATTTCAAAATAGAAAACCAAATAAACATTGGTAAGTAACTCAAATAAAAGAAGGTAACATAAAACTAGTTAGTAACTTGATCGAAAAAAGTTGGTAATCACTCTAATAAAAGTTAGTAATTTCTAAAAGAGCCAGTAAATTTAAAAAGTTGGAAACCAATGCAAATAAAAGTAGCAACTTAATAAAAAGCTAGTAAATTTGAGAAAATAACAAATAAATGCTAATAACTCAATTGAGATTTGGTAATCCAAAACTAATTGATTTGATTGGAGAAAATTTACCTAAATCACGCAAAGAAAGCTAGGCTGATAGTTTCATATAATACTCGGTAAATTTAAATTATTGGTAAGAAATGTAAATAAAAGTTCGTAAACAATGACAGAATCTTTGTTTGGTTAGAGATTAGAGAAGTTGGTGTAGAAAAAAAATGAAAATAAACATTGGTAAGTAACTCAATTAGGAGTTGGTAATGCAATATGGTAAACTTGATAGAGGAGAAGTTGGTAATCACTCTAAGGGTACGTTTGTTTTGCGGAAAACTTAATGATAAAGGAAAGTGTTTTCCGGAAAATCATTTTCCATGAATACGCTTAGTTTTCATTTGTTTGGTGATATACGATGGAAATCGTTTTCTGATGTTTGGATTTCATTGGAAAATGATTTCAATCTCATGACTTTATTTTAGATCAAAACAATAAAAGAATTTTTAAATATTTTTATTTTAAAAAAAAATCAAATTTCTTAATTATTTTTTATTTCTCTTTTTTTATTTTCTTTTTTTGTAAAAATTTGAATTTTTTAATTCTTTTTTAAAAGGTCGTCGCTAAATCTGTCACTAATTAGCGACGAAAAATAAATTCGTCGCTAATTTGCGATGGAAAAAAAAATCCGTCGCAAATTTGCGGTACCCCTCCCCCCCTGCGCTTCCTCCGGCGACTCCTGGGTCTGAGGTTGCTTGTAGGAATGTTTTTTTGGTTCGTTTGACGTTGCGTTTTGGATTGATTGTTTCTTGATTTTTGTTGCAGGCGGATAATTTGGGCACGATAGGCAACGCAAGTAAAGAAGAAAGGCAGACAGGCAACGCAACAAAGAGATATAGAATCTACAGTAGAGAACATTAGTGATTTGGAGGATGATCAAAGCCATCGTGTGGCGAAGTCGCTTTTACACTCAGTGAAGTGGGAACGCATTATTTTGGATGAGGTGAGTGAATGAGAGTATCTTGCGGTGATATGAGTGCTAACATAGTTCAATGCTTTGTAACCGATATAAAGATTTCGATATGTCCATGCTGGCAACACGTGATTCGTTATTTTGTTTGGCAGGGTGAAGCCACGCATGAATGCGTTAATTTGCTCTTGGCAAGACAAATTTCTGTAAGATTAGGCCTTTCGATTGAAGGTTTGATTACTTTTAGGGAACCATATATGCATGTTCTTTTCCACAATTTATCAAAAAAACTTCTATCCGGGATCTCTTAGTATGATTTGCTTCGTGATCTTTGAACATTCATGTGCATGTACATTTCCCACTCATGCCTATGCAATTTTATTCAATGTAGGCTCACTTTGTCAAAGATAGGCGATGTAATACTGCAAAAGCAGTTCTCGGACTGGAGTCTTCATACAGATGGGCTTTAAGTGGAACACCTCTTCAAAATCATGTTGGGGAGCTCTACTTTCTTGTAAGTTTCTATTTTATACGGGTGGTTAATTGTTATTCACCTTCTGTAGTCAATCACATTGCCCTGCAATAAACTTTTCGGGTCCGTTTTCTTCAAATTGTTGTCTGGGTTGACTTCACTTTCATTATCTTAGTTAATGCAATCTCACTCTTTGTTTTCTGCATTAACTTTATCGATTGGTCTTAGAGCTTCACCTGTTGATTGCATGCACTGAGTTCGGCAAAAGTACACTAGAAGTGCCATAACTTGTGTACGGCGATCACTTTGGTGCCATAACTTTTTTTCGGATCACTTTGGTGCCAACTTTTTTGAAAATCGATCACTTTAGTGCCAATGTTGACGTTGCTCGCCGGAAATCCGATGTGGCGCTGACACGGCTCGCCGGAGAGGTCCAGTCAGCATTAAAAACAAAAAACGACGCCGTTTAGCTCATTGACGTGTACTTTTAAAAAAAATTAAATTATATTAAAAAAGAAAAAAAACCTGCAGCAGCGGCGAGGGAGCCCTCACCGCTGCTACCGCCAACCCACCACCGCCGGGAAGGCCCGGCGGTGGTGGGCGCAGTGGTCGGCGAGGGTCGCCAGCCCCTGGCCGGGGCCCGGCAACCCTCGCCGAGCCCAGCGAAGGCCAGATCTGGCGAGGCGAGACCTCGCCATCGCGACCCGAGCGACGACGAGGTCTCGCCTCGCCCAAGCAAAGGCGAGGCCGACCTCGCCGTAGCCCGGGTCGCGACGGCGAGGTTTGGCCTCGCCAATGGCGGCGAGGCGAGACCTCGCCGTCGCGACCCAGCGACGGCGAGGTCTCGCCTCGCCCAGCGAGGCAAGGCGAGACCTCGCCGTCGCGACCAGGCGACGGCGAGGTCTCGCCTCGCCCAAAGCAAAGGCGAGGCCGACCTCGCCGTCGCCCGGGTCGCGACAGAGGTCTCGCCTCGCCGGATCCGGCCCTCGCCTGGGCTCGGCGAGGGTCGCCGGATCCGGCCCTCCCTGGGCTCGGCGAGGGTCGCCGGGCCCCGGCCAGGGGCCGGCGACCCTCGCCGACCACTGCGCCCAACACCGCCGGCCCTTCCCGGCGGTGGTGGGTTGGCGGCAGCAGCGGCGAGGGCTCCCTCGCCACTGCTGCAACTTTTTTTTTTTTAAAAATTAAAAAATTCGTAAAAAAAGCCACGTAATTTCCACCGTGTACAAGTCAGACCATTTTTTTTTAATATAAATGTCAGGTCAGCTTTTTGGCCGGAATTTTGGCCGGAGTCACCAAAGTGATCGATTTTCCTCCGACTTGGCATCAAAGTGATCCGAAAAAAAGTTATGGCACCAAAGTGATCGCCGTACACAAGTTATGGCACTTCTAGTGTACTTTTGCCCACTGAGTTCAGTGAATGTATTTTTCCTTTGTTATCTATTTTGTAAGTCTGTTGTTCATTTGCAGTTCCTCAAAACAATGTCCTGAATGCTCTCACAGTTCTGTACGGCACTTTTGTTGGTGGAATCGAGTGAGTTGCATTTTCATTGGTCCTTTGGCCTCTCTCTCTTTTTTTTTTTGGGCAAATCATGTGGAATGTTTTCATTTGAACTCTGATATGGAGTATATATTCTATCTAGTATATAGCGAATCCTATACAAGCACATGGAAATGCCGTTGGCAGAAGGCGAGCAATGATATTACTAAAACACAATTTTGAAAAACAATTTGCTGAGACGCACAAAAAAGGGAAGAGCTGCTGATCTTGCACTTCCACCTAGAATTGTGAGTTCTCTTGCATATGTGTACAATTGCAATTCGGCATGTCGAAGATTTTTAACTTAAATCCACCGCTTCCTGCTCTCTTCACTTTCCCTGCAGGTTACTTTGAGGTGGGATACACTGGACATTAGAGAAGAGGATTATTACATATCATTGTACAATGAGAGCCAATCTAACCTTGTGCGGTGTGCATATTGATTGGTAGGTCCGTTAATCTAGGCTTCTTAATTTGCTCTTTCAGAGGATCAATTAGACTGAAAATGTGTCACCAGAAATTTCTAGCAATTGCTTTCATGGCCTAAAGATATATAAATGTTCTAAGTGCAATCCTTTTAATTTTGGATGCGAAATTTTGGCAATTGTAGGTATTTCACTTTCTTCTCTGGGCTTGTGGGACTTTGAGTATCGCATTGTATGTCAACAAGTGAATGTCACTTATTTGGAGGAGGTGATGAAGCACTTCATGCAAACCTTATAGGAGAAAGCAGAGTGGGCGCAAGATTGGAAGTATCTTTTCATACATATCGGGGATAAGCTTTGCTTCAGCATCTTCAGTGCCAGAAGTGCAGTTGGCCCAATATGTTCCTGCCCCGGAAAGAATTGCCACCCTGAGGTTGCTTAAGCAAGTGCTTTAAAGTGCTCAAGATTATTTATTCTCTCATTATGTGTACTATAAAGAAAATATATATGTCATTCTTGTGGAAAATGTAGATGAATGTATTTCATTTTCATATTATTATAATATTTTGATGTTATTAAGTGCTTAATCAATGTTAAATATAAATTGTAGGAATTAATTTTGCTGTTAATTAGATTTAAAATCGAAGTCGTCCCTAAACAATATTCGTCGCTAAAGAATTAATAAAAATTCGTCGCTAAAGAATTAATAAAAATTCATCGCTAAAGAATTAATAAAAATTCGTCGCTAAATAATTAATAAAAATTCGTTGCTATTATTGACCAAAAACAAAATTGGCAAATTAGCGATGAATTTTTTTTTTGGTCGAAATTAGCGACGAATTTTGTCACGAATAATTAGCGATAAATAATTAGCAACGAATAATTAGCGACGAATAATTTGCGACGAATAATTAGCGACGAATTTTGCGACGAATTTTGTGACGAATAATTTTTGACGAATTTTGCGACGAATAATTTGTCACGAATTTGGCGACGAATAATTAGCGACGACTTTTGTGACGAATATATTTCGTCGCAAATTAGCGACGAAAATTGATATTTTTCGTCGCTAAATTTTGCGACGCCGAATTAGCGACGGAATTTTTTTCGTCGCAAATTCGTTTAGCGACGAATTTTGTCAAATTTTTCGTCGCAAAATTCGTTGCTAAAACCTCATTTTTTTGTAGTGGAATTTTGCGACGAAATTTGCGACGAAATTTACGACGAATTTTGCGACGAATAAAGTTCGTGCCTAATTTGCGACGAATTTTGCAACGAATTATTTGCGACGGATAGTGTTCGTGGCTAATTTGCGACGAATTTTTTTCCGTCGCAATTTTGCGACGGAAATTGAAATTTTCTGTCGCAAAATTTTGCGACACCCTATTAGCGACAGAAAAAATTCCTAATTTTTGCGACGCAAAATTCGATTTGCAACGGATTTTGCGACGGAAAATTCCTAATTTTTGCGACGGAATTTTTTTCGTCGCAAATTCGATTTGCGATGGATTTTGCCTAATTTTTCGTCGCAAAATTCGTTGCTAACCCCTTGTTTTTTTGTAGTGTTCACTATCTCGGTGATCTAGTGAACGTGTAACTGTTTCATTCAATTTCATCTTGAAGAGCTCATACTGTCCAAGAAGATTGTTCATATTTATCTCTTTGACTATGTCAGTTCCTTCAAATGTCAATCGGAGTTGATTTCAAATTTATTTGGCTGTGACATAAATTTAGATGGGGACAAGGCACAATATATCAAATGTTTAGCTTTAGTATTGTGAGTAGCTCTTCTTCAAGTTTCTTCTGCATTAGTAATAGTAACATCGGTTTGAACTTCCTATCCATCTTGTCGAGCCGGAGCTTGAGCTAGTATATCTACCCCATTTTCGATTCCATCCCACATGTCAAAATATGTTGCCTGATGATAGGATTGCATTCTTTGCGTCCAATAAGCATAGTTGCTTCCTTCAGAGTAAGGCAGCTTGTTGGGTACTTGAGCATCATTGATAAGGAAATTACAAAAGTTAGCTATAAGAGAATATCTTTATACTTTGAAGAAATACACTTCGAATAACAAGCAACAAGGCTCTGATACCAATTGTTGAGGCTAACAATGCAACCTAGGGGGGTGAGTAGGTTGTTTTGACTCCGTTTGAGGCATTGTTCGGGAAGAAGCCAAACATATATGCTGTTAGAGTGTTTGGCTATGAAGCGTATGTCCACGTGCCAAAGGAAAAGTGGAATAAGCTTGAGAGCAAGTCAGAGAAGTACATCTTCATTGGGTACAAGGATGGTGTCAAAGGATATAAATTGGGGAACCCTGATACTAAACGTATCATTTATAGCAAAGATGTAGTCTTAAAGGAATCCATGACAAATCAAATTATTCCACAAGCTCCTGAAAAACCACAGAAGGTTGAGTTCGATGTTGGTTCGAAGGAAAAGACAAAGGCTATACAAGCTGGAACAGAAAATTCATATTCTGGAGCTGATAAGCATGACGAAATGGATGACATAGTAGATTCTGAAATTGAGTTTGAAGTCGAAGCACTGAATTGGTCTTAAAAAGGTCTACACGGCTGAGAAGACCACCTAAGAGGTACACCCTGTTTGTCAATAATTTGTGCTCTTATTGTTATAAGTAATGATCCAAGTACTGTCAAGGAAGCAAGAAGTGCGGAGGATGCCAAACAGTGGGAGAAAGCCATGAAAGATAAGATGGACTCACTAGATGAAAAAGGAATGCGGAGTTTGGTAAAGCTACATACATATCGAAAGGCAATTGATTGCAAGTGGGTGTTCAAGAAGAAGATATCTATAGATGGAGAGATATGACGATACAATGCTCGTTTGGTTGCAAAGGAATACTCGCATATAGAGAGAGTCGATCATGATGAGATTTTTTGTCTTGTTGGTAAATTGAATTTGATAAGACTTGTTTTTTCTATAGTAGCTATATACAATCTAGAAGTAGAGTTTGATGTGAAGACAACATTCCTTTATGGTGACTTAGAGGAGGATATTTACATTAAACAACTAGAAAGGTTTGTAGTCATAGGAAGATTTTGTTTGCAAACTGAAGAAATCTTTGTATGACCTAAAACAATCTCCAAGAATGTGGTACTAGTAGTTCGACTCATATGTCTTGAAGCTTGACTTTGTTTGTTGTTATGCTGATCATTGTGTCTATGTGAAGATGTTAGAGAATGATTTTGTTATCTTAACCTTATATGATGATGATATGTTGCTAGTTGGGAATAGTTGAGAATGATCAACACTGTGAAAGGATTGTTGACAAAACTATTTGAGAGGAAAAATCTAGGCCTAACAAACTTTATCTTGGGCAAGCAGATAAAAAGGGAGCATGAAGAATGAGAAGTTGTGGCTAAGTCAGAAGAAATATGTTGAAGTGTGTTGAATAATTTCAACATTGCATACTATAAACCAGTGAAGAACCCTATGTCCACAAGTTCGAAGTTATCAGTGCTCTAGTGTCCCAAGATTGAAGCAGAAGCTAAAAAGATGGCAATAGTCCCATATGCATGCATAGTTGGGAGCTTGATGTATGCCATGGTGTGTACTCGTCCCGATATTGCTCAAGCAGTATGAGTATTGAACAGATATATGTCCAATTCGGGGAAAGAGCATTGGATGGCAGCAAAGTGGGTGTTTCGTTATCTTTGCAATGCATTTGACTTTAAGCTATGGTACGAAGGCAGGAAAAACTCAAAGGGACAACAAGTGTTCAAACTAAAATGTTCTGTGGATGTTGATTGGGGAGGTGACATTGATAGTAGGAGGTCAACCGACAAATATGTTGTTTCCTTATATTGATGAGCTATGAGTTGGATGAGCAAGAGGCAGAGCACGGTTGCTTTATCTACTACTGAGGTAGAGTACATGGTCCTTACTCATGCTGTTAAGGAAATAATTTGACTATGCAAATTGTGTAAAGAGCTTGGTTTTACATCGTACAACCACACGTTAATTGGAGAAGGAATGATGCTCCGCAGGGCGTCTCTCGTCTTCCTTCTTCTCCTACTTTTTTCTTCTCACACAACCATCTCTTCGAAAGTTGCCACCGTTTGCCAGACGAGTAATGGTAAGCATTTCAATTTCTATAGATGCATGCAAAATGAGCAAAACACAAATCATGGGTTGACCGGATAAACCGCTCAAAGTAATGATTGAGAATAGTCGCTTATGCGGAAAGTGATTATAGGTGATACAAAAGAAATCGATTTCACGTTAATGTTCTTTTAGAATTCGAAGTTTGAAGATAATAATGTCTAATGTAGAGATTAAGTAAATGCACGTATTCAGCAGGAAGCAATTTTGACGAGACGACGGTGAGCAAGATCATTGTCTGTGGAAGTCAATCTCGGCATGGCCCTTCAAAGGACCAACCTTAGAAGCCATGCTCGCCATTGTGAATCTTTCGAATGATTCTCGATTATTAATTTTTCAGTTTGATCGCTCCTAATATTTGTTGGTGTTATAAAGAAATAAATAATTTGCTTTCTTTTCTCTCCATGGTTAATTAGGGTTTTCCACCTCCTTTTGTTCATGGAGCTCAAATGATTTCTTCGAATACACTGCGAATGGGAAAAAATTTAAATTGATTTGTTAATTGAAATGATATCCCTATACCTTTTTGCCAAATCTAGATATATAATTTCATGCTCCCGAACCCGAAGTACCACATATTCATTGTGCAACCCAATCATTGCATTTCAAGTCTTATCTATTTGAGTGAAAATATGATATTCGCAACAGTTTGAATATTTTGATTTGGCTTGAGCTGACAGTAATGCCATGTTCCGAAAGCACATAAAAGTTTTTCGGAGTGAGATCTCAAATTTGATCTTATTCAGCATGACCTCTTGTAATTCTCTTGAAATTCGACGACAAATAAGTGAACAAAACATTAAGAAACCCACTAACCCATGGAATAGGTGTTCGTGCCCATTACCGCGGTCCCACCGGCATGTTAGAAGCCAAGAATTTTCTCCACATAATTAACAAATGTCCAAAGCACAAGCTGGCCAGAGATCTGCTCACAACATAGCTCAAGTTTGTGATCTCATGAAAAACAATATGACTCCTTTATCATTGGGTTATCATGCTCGATGGTTCCAATTTGTTCGGTTCACTGCATATCTTAAGAAGCGCATTGTCTAGGATAAACAACTCCAGCTTGGTCTCCACTTAAAAAGAAAACTAATTCCGATGCAAGAGTAGACCTTTGAGGAAATTTTGTCAGTGATTTCAAAGTGCATAGATGCCCAGCCAAGCACCGCATGAATTCCCTTTTCAACATACGTGCTGCAAAAAGGACCTCACATTGTCGCCGGAGTAAATCCTTATTTATATTAGCAAATTGTCACAGTTAATCGATTTTTCCCTTCGGGTGGTGACGTAGAGGGTTCTTGAACTTTTTCAATTTGTGCAGTGTAGTCCTTAGACATTTTTTATGCAACCGGGTCATTGAACTTTGTATTTGTCTGTTCATGCTCGTCTTTCCGTTAAATACCTAGACGGAAATGCTGAGATAACATCCATGTTTGCCTTACATGTGTATTATCAT